GCCCTGCAACCATGCCCTCAGGTCAGGATGTAAAGTAGGTTCCCCGGCTCCCTTATCTCAGTTGCCCCTCCCCTACTTTACAAAAGAAAGGAATAATGCTTCCCTCCCTTAATCGAAATCTTCTAAGGTACAATACCTTGGTATCCAAAATCTATGGATACCAAAGAAAGGGAAAACTGATTGGTGAATAAGGGTGGGTAACACACCCTTTAACCTGTTAGATGGTTTTTCAGTTACTTGCTTTCTGCAAAGTTGAGAGAACCTAAGCAGACTTGTCAGATGGTACATCATTAAAAATATTTAAAAAATATCTTCATGTGATTTTTTTGGGCATATAATTTGGAAAGAGCTCAAGGAATTGAGTAGCATTGTACAACTCAACAAAACTCCATTCATTCTCATTTCTTATTTATGCAAATGAATTTTTTAATGCTTATATCCGTGGGATCTAAAACCTGGAATAGAGGGGCCAGCAGGTAGCCTGGTGGTTATGCTGGACTCCCACATGGGTGACTGTGGCTTGCGTCCTCGACACTGCAGCTTCTCACTCTCCCTCTCTGGTCAGATTGAATAATAATAATAAAATAATTATTAAAAGAAAAGAGTTCTCTAAAAAAAAACCCTGGAATAGAATTAATGCTGAATTCTTACTCTATTAGTACTCATCCACCAATAAATTAGTTGGAAAAGAAGTCCATCCAGTTCCATCTCTACACGATGCACGTCTTAGACATTTTTTGCTTTTGTATTTATTTATATTTATAAATATTTGAAATATCTTTGTTTTGTTCAATTGGAATAAGGTTCTTAAGAACTTTATGACTACAGAAAATGCAAAAAGCAATCTACACGTTTTGGGACCAGCAGTTGGTGTAATGGCTATGTCACTGAACTCCCATGTGGTCCACTGGAGTTGGAGTCCTGGATGCTGTGACTTAAACTCATGCCTGGCACGCGTGCGTGTGTGCCCTAGATCCTGAGAGGAGAATGGAGGAGAAGGGATTGCGGCATGGCCATCCCCTTGAGGGGTGATTTCTTGCTTTCTATCTCTTTGGAGAGCACTCATGCCCTATAGCAAAAACCTCTCCAAAAAAAAAGGGAATCCACACGCTTATATATACATTTTTATTATAGGAAAATGTGATAAGATCAATAAAAACGGCTCAAATAGAAAATATAGGAAGAAACTTAAAAATGTGAAAAATGGGATTTAAAGTGAGTTTATTTCAGTGCAAAACATTTTGAAATCTATGCACAGTTTTTTCATAATAATGCACTTCCTACGAACGTTTTGAAAAATCTTTTTTTTTTTAAGGATAAACTTATGGAGGGGATGTGGACGGTATATAAATTCCAGAAGATAAAGCAAATATGGACCCTGTGCAAGTATAAAGTTAATTGTATTTTGATAAATGGATATTGGTGGGTAGAGTTTATGCTATGTAGCATCAGTCCACTGATATTTAGAAAATGAGTTCAATTACTGAAAATATTTGTAGCTGTCACCTTGAAGCTTGTAAGCATGTAGCTAAGCGTCAAAAAGTTGTTTTGAGGTTTCAAAACCTAAAAAAGTTTGAAGCCCTAAACTCAAAGAAGTATTTGTTGGGAGTTTCCGATCTCACTCTCCATGGGGTTAGGGGAAAACCTGTGGCGCTACGTTGCGCATGTGGATTCGGTACCGGCCATGGCATCATCTATCTGTACTCATTTCGGTCGCCTCTCCCGGTAAAGCGCAAGCTCTCAGAAAGCCAGCGCCCGTTACACAGGGGACACTCCCCAAACGCCCCCAATGAATGACTTTATCGTGAGAAACCCGAGGGTGGATAAAATCCCCGGCCGGCGTTCCCGTTTTGTACCGCGTGTCCCGCGCGTGGCGAAGCCCGGGAGGGCGTGGGAAGGCCCCGCGGAAAGTCTGAGCGCGCGGGCGGTGGGGGGAGC